ACACATCTTTTTTTCCAGGAATACTTAAACACTGGTGTGTGTAAACACTTGCTTTATTAAAGTGTTCATGTTCTTTCCAGATCTTATTGTTAAAGTCATTAAGCAAAACATGGGAGGAATCAAAATAGAGGAATGGAGAAAGGTATGTTTATTCTGATTAAGGAAAACTTTGTCATTGATAATTAAAGCTCATGGTGTTTGCTGTCACACTCATCCATGTTTCTTGTTCGTTTTTTTGTATTAAAATGTTGGCCATATTTTGGTGTCGCAGCCAGAAAACGTCGTCCTGTTGCTACAGGTAAACATCAGACATGTCTCAAGCACGACACACTAATAAGAGGTGGGATGGGTTCTGATTGACGGTTTCATTCCACACGTGCAGTGGATCCATTACGAGGCCGGATTCCTAATATGTGCCATCACCGGTATCGTGTTTGTGGTCTTCACGCCCATCATCGCCACGTGCTTCTGCATGTGTCGATGCTGCGACAACTGTGGAGGCGAGATGCATCAGAGGCAGAGGAAAAACGCAGACTGTCACCGGGGTTTCTTCACCGCCTCGCTCATCGCAACCACCATCTTCATCATGTGAGTTATCCTTCCCTGTCCTGTCATTATCAGTCAGTTTTTACTCACTGTGAGGGGGAGTGTTAAACAGAAGTGATAAGAGACTTTGTGCGTGACTGTTGGGCGTCTAAAAAGGAACAACTACAATCAAGTCAAATTAAACAACAGAAGTTTAAACATGCTCTTTTGGTGGTATTTCAGTCAAAGACTTTAAGTTTAAAATATCGCTGTAGTAAACTATTCAGAGCTTTTGTGGTAACCTTTGTTAAATAAAGTTCTTGCATTTAAATGTGCTCAATCAAATCTAGGTAACATAAGTAAATTAAAAAAGAGCTCTTCAGAGAGTGGTGAAGGCTGCACAGAAGTCTGTTGGAGTCAGTCTCCCCACCATCACAGACATCTACACCTCTAGATGCAGGAAGAGGGCCACCTGCATCATGAAGGACCCCACTCACCCAGCACACACACTTTTTGCCTCGCTCCCCTCCGGAAGGCGGTTGAGGAGCATTAAGTGTAGAACCACTAGACTGAGGAACAGCTTCTACCCTGAGGCTGTTAGACTCACAAATCTCTAACCAGAAAAATCACTGTAATGCCACTTGATTGTTGACATGTGATGCTGATTTATTTCATGCTGCTGTGTTCATTCGTACTCATCTGCTCACACAGACTCATGTTCGTGCTGCTGTTGTTCGACGTATTGTTTTTGTTCTATTAGTGTTTAGTGTATTCTTAGTTTAGTGTATTTCTTGGTTCCTATCTTAGATCTTTCTACTGTTTTTCTTTACAATTTATAATTTTGTTGGATGTAACTGGGACCCTGTGTACACAGTTTCGTTCCACCACATGTGATGCAAATGACAATAAAGAATCCTTGATCTTGACATAACTGCTTATTGATAAATCCGTAATAATTAGACAAGTCCAAATAATAAGCTGTGTAATGACCCACACATACAGCCATAGGCGTCGCAACCATTATATGTGAAGGGGACAAGTCCCCCCCCCACACACACACACATTAAAAAAGCGTTAATTTGGACACCCCCCCACGTTTACTATAAAACATTAGTTCAGGCAGCGCAGTTTCTCTTTCTTCGTGAACGAATCCATTCCACTTAATTAATAGGAGAATACTCAAGCCACTAAAACTCCACTCCAGGTTTTCCTGGTTACCTCCCAACTCTCCACCGTCTCTTCCTGCCTCTTGCCTCGGCAGAAAACGCGCACAGGTGGAGGAGGTGGAGGTACCCGTGTTACTCGCTCGCCAGTTTAGCAGCTTAGTGCGGGCAGTGGTTGACCAGGGGGATGATCATAAACATATATTCATGTTAGGAGGATGCTTGATAGGAGCGCTACATCTGTAGCATGTGAGCTGTAACTGTGACGCTGTCAGACGCTGCAGGTGTAAGAGACGCTGTGTGTTCAGGTGCATTAAAGTTGAAATGTCTTTAAAACCCCACATCTTATTGTCCTCAAGTTTTGTGAGTAACATAATTTAGATGAGTGGTTTTGAACACAAGTAAAGAAAGTTCAGTGTTGATGTTTTTTTATTTCTCTATAAAGACAAATAGTACCGATCTGACGCTCTGTATTAAAGTGTATTAAAGTTAAAATGTCTTTAAAATCCACAGATGAATTTACACAAACTTGGTGAGAAACATGTTTTAAATGTGTGGAATTAAAGGAAATCTAGGTGAAATGCTGCTTTTTTGTTCACTAGTGAACACCTTTTTTTACGTGCGCACACACATGCACGTGCGCACACACACCTACACACATTATTGTGTCCCCCCCACATTACAGATGCTTCTGACGCCCTTGCATACAGCCACAAACAGCCTTTTTCAGGTGACGCTAAAGAAAGCTGCTTTCATCAATAATTAGCTGTTAAAAAAAAGGCTTCATATATATATATATATATATATATATA